CGAGAAGCGAAATCTTCTCTCCGTTGGCACACGAGAATGAGTCCCAAAAGTCTCCCTCCTCGATGAGTGGCACGATGGGGTGAACGTGGAGAAAGTACATTCGAACAAATTCGTTGAGAATCGGCATAGGTGGAAGGTCAAAGCATCCATTAAGCTGCATGTACTTGATATCCAGTTCAGACAAGTGACCTAATTCGGGTCTTCTGATGAATGGCAGAGTGTCATGGCTGCTGGATCCTATTTTGTTGATGGACGGTGGAGTTTGCTGTGTGAATGCATTATGAGTGTTGGCCCTATCTCTGGCTTGGCTATTCTTGTGTAGATTTGAGATTGTGTTTGCTGTTCTGGGAGAAAATCCTTCGAGACTGATGCATGTGCTTTCATTTGCCCTAATGTCATCCTGCGGGGAGTCAAAGGCGCTGATTGATAATCCCTTCAGGTTAGGTGGTGCAAGCCCGCTCAATCGCCTGGCCCATTGATCTATACTGTCTATGCCAGATGGATTATCATCTGTCAGTCTCGCTGATATACCGTCAGACACCGACCCTCCCTCATGGCGGAGTTTAGAGTCCGACAATGACCTTTGGTTGCCTCCAAGGTTAGCCGACTTTTGCTTTCCCGTAGAAATAATAATGGCCGAAGTTCGCCTACCGTTTCGATTTGCGCTCCTGGACTGCGCACAGCTGATGGTCGAGCTGACAATTCAAGCAAGGAACTCCGCGAAGTGTCACGTCGCACCGGACTTTTCTCTGGCGACAGTGGAGGCACGCCTTGCTTGCGCGTCGTCGCGGCATTGTGATGGTCGAGCCGAATATGAAGATGAAGCAACAGCGGTACGTGTAGTGGAAATAGAGAAAAAACCGGGAACCGTTGATTACATGAAGAAGGAATTGAGCATGGTGAACAGGAGAAAATGTCCGCCGCCGCGTGGATCGTCACCCTTTTTTTCACTAGCTATTGTTCGTCATCACTGAGCTAGCGAGGGACCTTCACTTGCTATCCACTCTTCCCCAGAAAATGAAGGCGAGCCTGTTCTTCCCTCCGCCTCCGGTCTCCCTCCCCGCAATACGCGGATCTCGGGACTTTGGGCAACACTCCATTATACTCCGCAACATCCCGCTGGCTCCGACTTAGCGCTCAAAGGCTGAGGATGAAGAGCCTCCAATAGCCCAATATCAAGGTGAGCTAAAGTCTTGTTAAGCTGCCAGTCAAAATAACGGCTCACTCAGCCAATACAAATCAGGACAAGTTTGCCTGTTTTGGCTCAAAACGCCGTTGGAAAATAGAGGGCCGGCTTCATTGCAGGGTAAGCACGCATGGACTCTCCGCGGGGTCACATCCTTAGCTCAACTATAGCTCTGGAGAAGGCTCAAGAACTGACTCGGCTTCAAGTAAGGCTTGATGCTTAATAATGTTTCCGGCAGTTACAGGGTCCTTTGAGTTTATCTTGGCGTCTGGGGCATCTCATCAAGTCAACCTGGTTGAGAGACATTCTACGTTGAATTGTCTACCTAGGTAGGACCATATTACCGCTCACTCAGCACTCCATCCCACTCGCAGGAATTCCTTCCGTCATAATGACTGACTGTGAGACAACATCGTGATGTCTTACCACCGGTTACCGCGGACCCGATCATTCCGTATTGATGTTGTAAAAGCTGTGGATTGTTGTATAATGTCTCTTGGGCTCCGAATGTTACGGAGGAACCGTCTCTTTTTCGTGCTTCTATGCCTCAATCAACTATGTGGATACGCCTCGGCGCCACCCCCATCCAGTCCGCGGGAGCTCATTAGTAGCCATGGAACAGGGCGCCTTAGGACTTTCATAGTTGCTTTAGTTAAGTCTCCGGAGTAATGGTAAGCGGTTTGGAAAACAACAGGGACTGCAAAGTGAATACGAGTATGTGCATACTCTTAGAGAGTATGACCATTACTTTGTACAGGTCTAATGTGGCGGGTATATGCAAACTGTCTGTTTCTGTACAGAGTACGGAGTATGCTAATCATTTTTCCATTTTCTCTCCCTTTACACTAATACACGCCCCTGGAATGGCTTCGAGATCAAAGTCTGCGGGGGTCGGTTCGCATTCGCATATAAGTGTGGCGAAGTGTGGCAAAGCGATGACTGGTCGCGTGAAGGGTCTGGTGTCGGACATACTCCGTGGAATCTGACACTTTACTACTCCGTAATTAGAACGATGATGGAAGCAAAAAGGACTAGAAATGCTTTGCCGTTCCTTATCTTGCCGCGCTCGCCGCTTATCGGCCATCCGAAAACCAATGCCGGCTCACCAAAGTTGAGCTACTCTCCACCCATGTGCGTTTTCAAGAAGAAAAGTCGGTATGACTATGACGGTGGTAGCATCGAAATAGTACGAGTAGTAACAGGAAAAAGAGATCCACCAAATTTCAATTTGGAATTCCCTCAACAATAAGAACTTTATTCCTCAAACCCCAGCTCTTTCTTGCGCTATAGGTAGATCGACGGGGTGAAGCCGGCCCCACGGCTTAAAAACCTCACGGCTAACAGCCTCAACGTTGCCTCGGCAAGGATCCACTCACGCCATACTGTTACATATATGCTCTGGTAATGCATGGTGAATCAATTTGCTCATCAGGTGGGATGATTGAAATTGCTCATTGTCTAAATACTTTCTTGACTGTCTAGTCATATAGTTCGAAGAGTCAATTTGCAACCGCAAAAGCTGCGTCGCCTAGTTAGTTAGCATCACTGAGTGGTGGAGGACTCTGTAGATCATTCTATAGATTCATGAATACGAGTACAAATAGGGGCTTCTTCGCGCTACACTGCTTTCTGGTACACAAGTTCCAACTAATAATACGGTTATGGGACAATATTCCGAGAATGCTTGAAAAAGTTATGCTAAAGCTAACATATTTTCGTTATTCAATAAGGGGGTTACCATTCAGTACCCCAGGTTCGCTATCCGGCACCTCATCGACTTCGTGAGGCTCCAGTGTCGGAATAGAATGTGAAAGGAAGCCTTCTATTTACTTCATCGTCCAGTAGGCAGTAGATACCCAGCCCTTTAAGCATCTGCTACTTTCACTACTCTCTTCCAGTATCTGCTACCATAGCTATATTCTTCTAGTATCTGCTATCATAGCTGTGTTTTAGGATTTAGCATTATTATTACTGTTGAAAATAGGGACACCGATCTGGGAGGTATCAGTACCTAGGCAGTCAGGGGTCAGTCCGGCTACAGAGCATAAGTAGGGAGGCTACGCCCGCAGTGTAATAGTAATAGGCTAGACAAATTGATCATATATTTCAACAATTACATTTAGATTTGTTGACACAGACGGGCATGACGCCCGGCCGCAATGCAAGTGCGGGCATCCCACAGAACAAAGTCACTTTGTAGAATATCGTGTGATTCGCCCTTTCTTGCCAAGGATCCCCAGGAAAGAATATGAAAGAGGCGTGAGACATCTAGAATACCTACTTGGCCCCAAGGGATACAAGACTTTTCAGAAACTGCTGGAGGACACGAGTCCATACGGCCCCTCCCCAACCCCCCAGATTGAAGCACTTCACAAATTGAACACCCCCTTTTTTCCCTTTGTTAGATGACACGTAGCGAACACGGATCCGGCACCGGGGCTCTACCGACGTAGTGGCAGGATGAGGACATGTAACTAGCTTACGTAGTGGTCGTTAATAATAAAATAAACAAACATTGTCGACACAGAACGCTGGATAGCAAAATTGTGGTGCTGAGTATAGGCGTTCCCAAAAGAAGCATCGCGTTCTCATCCATGCAGCACTCTGGATGAGTGACTTTAAAATGCTCACAGTTCGTTCTACCGATAAACCTCGGGTAAAAGTCGAAGCTATACAATTTTTTTCAGATCCACGTTCAGACGCCCAGGGTTTCATTGCAAACATAAATATTATAAATAAGGGAGTAAATCTCCATTACACTTATGATCATAGTACTATTAAACGTAAAGAATTTGTTTTACGATCATAGGAAGTATATACTTCTGACCAAATAGCTACGGCGACTATTAACTCAGTCCAATCTGCTGCAGTAGGTAAGTAACGCATTACGCGAAACTATACTCTTTGAACTCATTCACGCATACTGGAACCAGCCATTCAACCGTGTTGAAATGTATGATCAATTGGCCTGACCTATTATTATTATACTGCGGGCGTAACCTCCCGACTTATGCTCTGTAGCCGGACTGACCCCTGAACGCCTAGGTACTGCTACCTTCTAGGTTGGTGCCCCTATTTTCAACAAACCGGTGTAGCGGGGTGATAATGGCCGAACGGGATGGCTGTTAATGCTCGCTCTTGACTAAACTCGTCTTGTTTACCAAGCAGGAGGACTATTAGGCCGAAAATAATGATTTCCTCGCCATCGCTCTGCTCAAAATTACTGGCAGATAAGAGCTGGAGCAGCTTAAAGCGTGGCTAAAGCTGGACGATTAAGTTCTCCGAGTTACATTAGAAACCAGACTGGACAGACATATCTACAACGCCGATATCAGCGCCGATATAACCGAGTTAAACCGAGAGTAACTCTAACATTTAAGTCCGCATGCAAGGAAACAACAAGAGTGCCAACCCATTAAGGTTACTATATGTAATGCGGACAACTCGGACAGTGAGGACCTAGTTGGAGGATGAACACGCCGATTTCGCCGAGGCTGCCACACTGGATGACTAGAGCATTCAGCGAAACTATGTTCTTTGAGCTGATTCGCTGGTAGAGGAAACAACCTTTCTAGCTATAGCTAGGTGATCTTGGTCGAACGGGATAGTAAGGCCATGGCCATCAAACCGGGTACTTGCTGCTCACTTTTGATCAAAGGTTATTCCTACTATATTGCAACCTTTTTGTGTAGCCATTTTGTCAAATGTACTAAATGTATGCTGAGTCGCTAACGCTAGTCCTCTGTTGCCTGATTGATTTTGGCAAACGTGGCCTGTCTTTTTATTCTTCAGATTCGGTGGTCCTTCAAGTAGGTTACATTCCGTCCAAGTCCAGGATCGCTCTACCTTCAATCAGACCAGCCTGCATCTCCTTAAATACCTGAGTACGATCAGTATTACAATTTGCTCAACAATAGGGGATATTTCACTTGCATTGGTCAATTCGCTCATTTTCCGTATCTGATAGTGGCATTTGATGAAGCCTCTTGCCGCAAGATTAAGACATTCCTTGACGTCGACTCTGTTCCCGGTTTTCGCAGCTATATGATGTTAGCGTATTATACCTATGAATACGAGACAAGGATGAATGTTTCTCACAAATAATTCTCAACTCTTGCCCAACTATGGCTGCAATGTTGGGAGCAAACGAGACAGGGTTTTGTGGGACTCCAATGCATACTAATGTCCCTCTGAAACACAACGATGAAAAGGCTTGAGCATACGCTCTGCTGCTCGATGTGCACTGGAGAGAAATACGAACGCCACCGTTGCTGAGCGACTTGACCTTTGTAGCAAGATCTTCGTTCACGCCGAACTGAGTAATGTCAATAAATTCATCCGCAGCTTGGCTCAGGCAGAAGTCTTTTTTCGAGCCAACATCTAACGCGATGACCCGGCCGCCCATTGCTTTCGCATACTGAATTCTAAGATGTCCTAGCCCTCCACCGGCACCGAAAACGGCAACGCAATCACCAGGCCGAAGTCCAGCCTTTCTTAATGCCGTATAAATCGTGACGCCCCCACACATGAGAGGTGCTGCTGCGGCAAGGTCAAGATTATCCGGAATTGGAGTCACATATCTCGCTGTAGCAATGCAGTACTGCTGAAACGTTCCCGGCGTGAAATATCCTGATACTTTTATGTTTAGGCAAGATGCTTCAGCGTCTTCGATGCAATTATCTTTGTAAATTCGTTAATATCTATCGTCTGTTGTGTCAATGCAAGATAAGAACACACCGCAAGTCAGACAAGCATCGGCTGCATACTTGATGCCAACACGAGAGCCTATTAATGGCGATGTAACCCCTGGGCCATGAGCGACGACAACTCCAACGCCTTTATTTCGAGCGGTTAGTTAGGCAGCATCGAAAGGGTTTGGTAATTCAGCTACCTTCATGACCACCAATTTGTCCTAATAGTATTCGTCTTAGTCGATAGTCCACGAGTCATCTGATAGACTACGAACTCACCTTTGGGAGTTGGAACACGTAGTCCCGGAAGCGCATTCAAGCAGAACGGTACATCAGTATGGCACACACCAGAATAATATCTAACCCATTTAGCTAAGGAACGGAGTGAACATGAATAGATGTTGAGCACTAACAGCCGAACAAGAACTTCTCCATCAGCAGGCTGCGGAACAGGAAGATCAATCACTGCCGTTTCCAACGATATTCCAGGGTCAGAGTAAACCACTGCCCGATTAATCAGGCTTTGCAAAGACTCTTCTAATTCCTCCGGCATTATGTAACTTGGCACTTCGGAGTACAAGTGTGAGCTAATAATCACTTCGGAATACAAATGTAAGCCAGTAATCTCGTAAGCACCTTTGGCCGAAACTTGCTTCGACTAAATGGATACCTGTAAGCAGCTTTGGTATCTACCAATCCATATAAGAGAATGCTACTATGGACTAGATATATGATTATGCAGCGGCATAGCGGACTCTTAGGCATTCATCCGGACATTGAACTTAACTCCAGTCTTCCTCACCGAATTCACGCTCCCGAGAACTATACGGGAAGAGCCGGCCGCCCCACATGCCTTTTTCGCTCCATCAGCTCGGCGCCGGACCTCGTAATGAACCGTTGACTTGGTCCGGGTTCGCTTGGTATTTGTAAGAAAAAGATTGAGACAAACAAATATCCCGTATGTCAAAAGTCACAAGCAAATGGAATGGTAACTAAAGATAGGGAAGCTAAGAGTATATATGAAGCAAGGGCCGCAGTTCCGTGAATTCAATTATCCTAGGCCGAATCGAATCACGTACACAATATCAAAATGGCACCTCTCGACTTTGAATCGTTTTACAATGTCATTGATGGCAAGCTAGAGGCTACGGCCGAAACTCGCCATGGTATCAACCCGGCAACACTGGAACAACTGCCTCCAGTGCCTGTCAGCACGCGCAATGACGTGAATAGAGCGGTTGAAGCGGCCCAACGTGCTGCAGCAGCCTGGGCTGCAACACCTATTGAGGAGCGCAAGCAGAAAGTCATTCAATATGCTGATGCTGTGGACGCTCTTGCTAACGAATTCGGTAAAATGATGACTTTAGAGCAGGGCAAACCCGTATGTGTATATACCATTGATAATGAGGTATAGTATTCCGCTAACGACATAAAGTTGAGTCATGCTATAGGGGAGGCTCATGGCGCGGCCTATTTCTTGAAGGGGTTTGCAAAGATGGATCTCCCGGACCGAGTCGTTGAAGATACCGAGCACCGCCGAGTAGTCACGCGTTATGTACCTATTGGTGTTTGCGTCGGTATTGTTCCGTGGAATTGTAGGTCGTTTCCTAGAATAGGAGCCCTGTTCATGTTAAGCTAACGGTATCCAGTCCCTATGACTACTTGTAAGAGGTTAAGGTATCTTATCGAAATGGTGTTGTACTTACGCATTGCTTAGTGACCTTCAAGATGGGGCCAGCTTTGGTAGCAGGCTGCACAATCATCTTGAAACCATCGTAGGTACTTCTATGTGTAAAGCATATGTTATTGAAGCTAATATGCGACAAGCCCGTTCACTCCGTATTGCGGCCTCAAAATGATTGAACTTGCCCAGCAATTTTTCCCGCCTGGCGTCGTCCAAGTCTTGAGCGGAGAAGATAGCTTGGGCCCTATGCTCACTGAGCATCCCGACGTAGCCAAGATTTCCTTTACTGGCTCAACCGGAACCGGTATCAGAGTGCTACAGAGCTCTGCACCCTCTTTGAAGCGAATCACACTTGAATTGTAAGTCTGAGCTCTTGTTTTGGGTATTACCCAGCTCGGGATTACTGACAAAATTGTAGGGGCGGTAACGATCCGGCAATTATATGCTCAGATATTGATATCCCGAAAGTTGCAGCGAGGGTTGCCATGAAGTCGTTTGTCAACAGCGGTCAGGTAAGTAGTCACACATTATGTCATACGACGTGGCTACCGGCTCATTTCTAATTCCTTATAGGTCTGCATTAGTATCAAAAGACTCTATGTTCACTCCTCTATATATGAAGAGTTCATGGCAGAGCTGTCCAAGGCCACGAAGTCTCTTGTAGTGGGAAATGGCATGAATGAATCCACAGATCTTGGACCAATCCAGAATGCGATGCAATATGAACGACTCAAAGATTTTGTGGCTTCTATTAAACGTGATAAACTCACGATTGCAGTCGGAGACTTGGAGAATACCTTTTCCACTGGCAACGGCTACTTCATGAGCCCTCTCCTTATTGACAATCCACCCGAAGATTCTCGGGCTGTCGTTGAAGAACCTTTTGGTAAGTAAGATCTGTACTTATTAGCTTATTTATGTGACTGACTCTATTATCAGGACCTATACTTCCTGTTCTCAAATGGGACACGGAGGAAGATGTCATCCACCGTGCGAATCATTCCGCTGATGGGCTGGGAGCCTCGGTTTGGTCGCGTGATATGGCTCAGGCTGAAAGAATGGCAGGTCAACTGCAGGCTGGATTAGTTTGGATCAACACCCATCAGGAGCTTCAGGTGGATGCGGTTTTTGGAGGGCACAAGCATAGCGGAATTGGCAGTGAGCTGGGGATTGAGGGCCTCAAAGCATACTGCCTGACTCAGTCCGTTATACACGACAAAGACGGCGCATAAAGTCATTAGTAAAATGAAATTATGTAATTTAGATAGTTATCCAGGTATTTGGGCTTGAAAATTCACGTTTTTACATCTCAATTACATGTCGGGTGTTGGATTCTTTCAGCGTGTCACATTAAGCGTCTTGAATTTTTAACATAAAGTGAGAATCAATAACATTCAGGTATCTTGTAGCGCTAAGTAATACTCCATAATTTGCATCAAATATTTAGACAATTCTGAAAGACCCAAGGGTGATAATGGTAACTCCGAAGCTAGTGAATGGCTGCCCGCCGTCTCGTGTATCGGAACGGACCGTAAATAGAAGCCGCGCCGAAAGACTTTTGGTGGAGATGTTGGGACATCTACTTTCAATGTTAGTACAGCATACAGCATGCCCGTCAAACCGCCAGAAACAGTGTGCGGAAGTAGCCGAATGGACTTTGTAGTAGGACGGGACATCCCGCTACACTACGGAGCCTTTCCAGCAAATAGCGGATCGAGTTGGATCATTACGCTCCGAAGTGGAAAACGATTCAAGGTTGCTGCTTCTGGGGACAACTGCGGGCCTTCCACCGCCTGATGACTTCATCTCTCTCACATTGAGAGGACTTGTGGAAAGCCTCAATGCCTTGGCGGAGCCTGATCAGAATGATCTCGGCTTTGTATTTGGTGATATGATGCTTTTGCAGTTCTTTTTCCACTCCTTTGAGCGTATAACCTGGCAGGCCGAAAGCAGCTACGAAATGGTCAGAATCTCTTATCATCAATTTGATTTGAGAGAGCGCTCCGACACACGCTTTATCATGGTAGCAGGGAACAAGGGGAGAACTTACAGGCACCCAGATTGGAAAAGAAGCCCTTTGAGCCGCGCCATAGGCCTTTTCCGATCCCTTTAGCACCTTCATCGTGGACACTTTGGTAGGGATAAACAACGATTCCGCTAAACGCCTCCCATAACCCCAGCGTAAACTCCTTGCCAGCCGCCACAAGACCGGTTTCAAGGTCAATGATCTGGTCTCTACGCCGAACTTCAACCCCAGCGTAGCCACACGAGGGATAATTGTGAAATCCGTTTGCAATATTGTAAAAGAAGTCCACGGGGACTTTCAGGCCAACTTTGGTGAGCTCAGCGGCATACCTACCCGTCGCCCGTGTGAGATAGAAGATGTGACCATTTCGACCTTTCTCCCGGGCATGCCAGGCAGCCTTTTGCTTATCGTATAGGGACGGCTGTCGGATCAAGGTATCGATATCGGCATTGTTTGTCTTTAACGACTTTCTCGCTACTTTTTGCGCGTATAACTCCATCTCTCTTGTGTTGAAAGTGGTGGGATTGATTCGACGATTTGGCGAAGTTCCGTTACTCGCTACCGAACCATTGGCAATCTTGTCACCCCATGGATCTATGAATGAGTGCCTTCTACCCTCCCATTTGGGGTGCTTGGGCCGGTATCTCAAAGCATGAGAATAATCGAAAGTTGCTGTAGCCGCGTCCATCATGGGGCCGGTGAAAGCAGCCGCAAACCCGACTAAGGGATGCTCAGCGCCTTCATCAACGTACCAGTTCTTGCGGCGTATGAGCTCAAGCTCCGGAGGCTGTATGAGGCCCTTGTCAACAAGACAAGAAACGGCAAAGCTACTCAAGCGAGTGTTCGTCTTCTTATGGCGATGCGTGGCCAACCGACCTGGGCATATCTCACACTCGAAGTCGTCTATGCCAAGATGGTCTTGAAAACTTTTAGCCGTGTCCTCAGCACCATTCTCTTCAGCAATATCTTCCGCCATCCGTTGCGCGGCTTCTTGAACTTCGGGCATCAATGCAAACGATATGCTCTCGGCCAAAATTTCTGCCGTTAACTCCTTGAATGGCACTGGATCCGGTCCGGCTCCGGAGCGCGCAATCATCTGCCCCCAGAAAGGCTGATCGCCAAAGAAAGGGACAATGACCGTGGGCCGACCGGCTGCGATGCCTGCAGCAGTGGTACCGGCACCTCCATGATGGACTACTGCCGAGACGTGTTGGAAGAGCCAGTCGTGTGGACAGTTGTCGATCAGGTATATATCGTCCGGCACCTTACACTTGTCTCCTACACGACTCCATCCTCTGCTGATGATGGCACGAACGCCTGCAAGAGCGACAGCTTCGAAGAGCATCTCAGAAAGAGCATCCGGATCTTCAACCACAATGGACCCAAATCCGATGTATATAGGCTTTGGCCCCTTTTCTAGGAAAGCTGTCAATTCAGGTGGAGGGGTGTATGAGTTGGCCAGTTTTAGGAACGAATATCCAGCAATTTCGATATGTGAGCCCCAGTCCGGCGGCTTCGGTATCAGAGACTCAGGCCAGAGATAAGTATAAGGCACACGGAGTCTGGATAACAGTTGGAATCCCCACATGAGGCTGATGGGATCGAGTCCGAGTTTCTGACGGCGGAATTTGTTGATCAAATCCCCAAGACTAAAAGTGAACGGAAACAGAGTTAGTGAATGACACGGATACCGGGCACAGACAGGAGGTGTGGACGAACCCTTGCCACATCAACAGCTCCATCATGATAAAGGAAAGGTAATTGGCCGTTTTTGCATCCGCGCCGCTGTAATTCATGGAAGCCAGAGGGTGAGGGAAAGCGCTAGTGGGCGAAAAAGGCATTGTGAAGACCATATGCAACGGTATTCCTAGCTTTTCAGCGCAATGTATGTGTGCGAGGGAGGGCGGATTGGCGATGATGGCGTCTGCAAGGAAAAGATCTTCAACGTTTTCCACGTCTGTCGCTTTGACGGGTTCTCCCATTCCATCGCCAGCCTCGATACAGCTTCGCCAAGCACGATTGATAATCTCCCACATCTCGTCCCTTCTCTTTCCAATGTCACCGGCTCTGACACTTTTGCGGCTGGGAACCAGACCTGGATTCCTCACCATGTACGACATCAGCGCCTCGGGGTCGCCGCCAATGCTGAAGAACTCGATGCCTTGGGACTCTACGAATTCTTTGAAAGCGGGATGCGTACAGATGCGTACTCGATGTCCATATGGCGGTTTGGAGAGGATTTGTGCAATTGGGATAAAAGGTTGAACATCACCGCGAGAGCCGACGATGTGTATCGCGATATTCAGCGGCGGGCAGAAACCGCCTGTCGACTTGCGTCTACCAGCACATATAGGAGTAGAGCAAGGGCCGGTCTGCACTCGTTTCGATGTCTCCTGGAGGTTCTTACACCATGTTGCCAAGCTGCCGGCATCTTGATGGAAGCAAAGCTCGAATCTTCCATCTTTTCCGACGTTTCCTGTTGTCAAGTCTTTCTTGGCTTCATCTTCAATGGTGACATGGCCGGCCGCGTTCGATCGGGTACGACTGAGAAGCATGTTGGATTCACTTGGGCACCCAAAGAGCGAGCACCAGCCTCAATATTCGGTCGTCTTGATGTCTTGTCGTTGGGGAAAACATTTTAAGGCGACTAGCAAAGATAAAAGAACGAAGGAAAGTATGGCCTGCATATAGGTAGGCAATTGTCCAGCAGCTCAGCTGCCGGGCGCCTCCGTGGATGAGAGCTTGTCCATCCGATAGATCCGCCACTAACAAGCTCCGGGAGTCTTACATGCGGTTAGCAAGGCTCTGTGACGTGGTGTTGCCTCGCATGTGCAATTGAAATGCCACCTCATAACCACAAGCCGGTTCTGGGCTTAAACGCCACAACGAGGGCTCTCCGCAAAACTGGGTAACAGCCGCGGCACTTGCCTCGGTGAGCCCGCCTAAATGCATGGTTTTATAATGGGTATGCAAGTATGTATGTAAATCTATCAAATCTAGGCCTCCTGGTAGTTCTTTCAGCCAATTCATTCACTCATTAGGATGGATCTTGGATCAATAATTGCTGCGCGATCGGGCGTCCCTTCGCAAGCTGACTGCCGCGGGATGCAGCAGGCTAGTCCGGAAACTGGCCAGCGCTCCTAGAATCCCTGCTACTGATTGCACAGAAAAAGATCCCAAGTCGCAGTGAGGTCATGATGTAGTCTTGCGTCAGTTTCATGTGATATTCACGATAGTACGAATGATATTCGGGACTTTCCAGTGATTCCACATGTACGAGTAAGGCTCATGACTTTATATCATCAGTAGTTTTAGGTAGTGTGCATATATACACGTATGTCATTGGGTCCAGCCAGCCACGTCTCGGTAGTTGTCACGCGGCTATATGTAGGTATCAGAGAAGAAATCATGCGTACCAAACAGGCAATGTTTCAACCTTAATGCGAGAAGCAAATACTTTAAAAGATTCTTGTATATTAACTGCCATAAGCATCGTTGGAAATGATGTACACAATCTCCTTGGTGGAGGTTGTGATAACCAACCTCGGCCCAAGGCAGTTCCACTTCGCGCCCCCATCCTGACTTCATCTACATCTCTTCAAACAATCTTCGTACAATTTGCACCAATCTATCTTGCCTGAATCTCTTTGACATCTTTTTATCGGGTCTCATAGCTGATGAAGCCCACAACATCCCACAAATATCCACTTGTCTTGTCCGTGGGATCAACAGCCATTGAATTGCCACCACGTGGTTCGGTTTGGGGATTCCGGAGCAACCGGAAAATGCGAGTCACGCATGATCTCGCATCGTGATTGCTTCTTACATCTTCCACTTCTTAACAAGCTTCCCATCCACTCCTATCATGGCTTCCATTCTCACCCATATGACCGAAATTGATGCGGCAAAAAGGAGGACACTGGTAAGCACCGTCATGCCTTCATATGACCTCGCTGGACTGCCCGTGGAATGGCTGCGGATCAAGACACCGCCGACGGGAGTGCCAACAAGGGATGCCATGCCCCTTACCATATATAGCACGCCGTTGACTGAGGCAAAGTTATGGACTCCAAATAACTCCACCAGGCTCGCAGGAAACAGGGCGACGTAGGCGCTTGCGAAAATTCCGTAAAGGATAGTGAATGAAATGAACAGGCCCTGTGAAGTAGCTTTATCTTCGGACAAGGTCGAAGGCAGCCAGAAGCTGATAGTTGCTATGGCGCTGATGATGGTCGTAATCACCAAGGCATTCAATCTTCCCATATGATCGGCAGCATAACCAATCGCTATCTTGCCAATTGCGTTACAGGCATTTGAAAGGGCGATAAAATTGGCACCGGCTGTGTCGCTGTATCCCAAAGTCCTGGCATAGGTGGCAAAGAAGAAGAGTGGGAGATAGTAAACTGCAGATTGGAAGATGGAGGCCAGTGCTTGTGCCGCAAACTTGCGTGTGCGTGCGATACGCCAATCGACGATGGGAACCTTGAGAATTCCATCCATACGGCTAGTCCTCGCAGCATTCTCCACGTCGATTCGAGCCTTTGCCTCAGGCTCCCATGCCATGGCGGCGCTGGCTAGGACATTGAGTCCAAAGGCGATGCCTCCAGCAAGACGCATAGCATTTCGATAACCCATGCTATCAACAGCCGCTTTCAGGGCTGGTGCCCATACGAGACCCCCAATACCAGTGCCGGAGGTGATTATCCCAAGTCCAAGGCCGCGACGCGTAGTGAACCAAGTCGGGGCGATTGTCACAGCCACCATATAGCTCATACAAGTTCCGAGGCCCAATAAAACTCCTTGAGTGACTTCGAAATGCCACAGGGATTTCCCAAAACTTGCCAGAATAAGCGCGGCGGAGAATATGGTTGAGCCGATGAGCGAGATCAACTTGGGCGAGAAGCGTTTGGACCACGCAACGACAAAAGGAGCTCCGATAGTCATAAGAGATATGGACAGGGTGCCAATCAGGTCAATGTCGGCAGGCGACGCTCCGGTAAAGGGGGTGTCAGGCTGTTGCGAAAGGGTCTCGAAAACTGCCTGGAAGATACCAAAGGCAAAATTGATCCCACAGCACGTGAAGACAATCGTGAACGAGGCGATAGTGATGATGATGGTTTGTCTAATGAAGGAGTTAGGGGCACACTTTCGGTACAGAGGGAGGGGGCTGTCGTAACCGAAACCGCATAGACAAGCTGACTATCAAGAAGCATACCGATTCGAACGTTTGGTCACGGAGGGTTCTGCGGGCGGTGTTGCTGCTTCTTCTTCTGCTTTTGATGTCGCATGCCTGCTGCGTTGAGTCAAAGAGATGTCATCTTGAGCGAAAAGGCCATGAGATGAGGCCGAATCAGCCACCGTCTCTGTCAAGGTCGACGACATATTTCCGAATGGTTAATGGAATACTGATGCGTGTGTACTTGTATACCCAGATTGGGGATAAAACAAATCTCTGTAAGTGCCGAGTGATGTATAAGGGGCCTGGCGGGAGTATTTATAGGATTGAAATGAGAACTGAACCGGAGCTCTGCTAATCATGACTCAGAAACTAGCAGCGGCTTAATTCCGTACGGCGAAGAAATCTGGTGCCCATTTTCCAAGCCTTTTATCCATCTTATCAGATATCTCTCCGCGGAGATGCTAGGCTTTCATCAATTTTACAGCGAGTTCCAGCGTTAAAGCCGATTCCGGGGTTTATAGCTCCGTGCGAATACGGATTAGAGCCGATCTTAAACGATCTGCCATAAGGGGCACATCTGCCATTCTATTCCTCGGATGACTCTTATATGTGGAGTCGTCAACCCGCCGGTTGGTGTCACCGCAGGGCGTCGGTTGTCGGTGCCGCCAGTTTCGATAGGTGAAGATGTCATAGGAGGACTCGGCTCGGTCACGTAGAGCGACGGAGACGATATAAACGTAGGAGAGGAAGCATGACATTCCTATGTTCCATAATGGCTTCTATAAACTTAATTATCTGCTATGTTTGTCCCTTGAACGTCGCTCTAATTACGGCCAAGTATTCCGGACATCGCAACCATTCTGTCCACCTCCTGTGCATGATTTACCTCGGCTTTTTCATATTGATTCTCTTTTCTCCCCGGGCAATATTCCAGTTGAGCGTTTGGTATTTAGCACAGTTTCTTCACTTGAAACTTATATGCTCTCAAAGTGACTGATTGAATGTCCTTGGGGATGCTGAACTCTATTCGCGATATCGGGGGCTTCGATACGTAAATACAATATACCAATCCTATCGAAATCGTGAGCGAGACATTCACTAGTACAGTCCGTAGTCAATTGCAGGATAGAGATTATGAGCAGTTGGTTCAACAAAAAACCCGATCTTACTACATATTGCATAAAACGCCTTCAAATACACGGAGTACCACAGCTGGGGAATATTCATGCTGCTAAATTTCCCAACGAGTATCCTTCTAGAACCTTTACTGTTTACTAAACATTCGGTTGCAAAGCCGAAACTATGTGGGTTGCAATCGGCAATTTCCACGGGCAATTAGCTCCGATCTGAGCTCCAGATACAGCCCTCTGTTACAATATGTAGGGATCTTTCGCACTCTGTTCTCCGGCCATAGTTCGTTTCCATAAGCTGGTAGTTAGCTCGTCCAAGCACTTATTGACCTTTGCTCTTGAACGATACTGATATACACGGGCCATGGGTATATTACAGATGAGGCAGGTTAGCTGTAGTTTAAATGACGGAGATCTCCTTTACGTAACCGTTTATTTCTATAACTCTCATAGCGTCAAAGAAGTTTGCCCTTGGCTGGACACATAAACATTACGACAGCATTGAGTGTAGAATGATAATGTCAGTGCTCGATGACGGTCTTACAAGATGCGCGTCATTTTTCTTCCCGGTGCTGGCCTACTCACAACCCCCCTTAGCCCTGATTTTTTATATCTGGAAAGGTTCCTCTCTTTGAGACAGGATTGAATCGCAAAATGTACAAGAAATTTGATACGTGTTGACCTAGTTATTATGAAAGCGAGGCCAATTGTCACAGCCCGAGCAAGTGACTTCTTTGTGAAACAAATGAATAACACAGCAACTCTTTCATCATAGACATCAAAGGTTCGACAAACAGTACAAGAAATCGGTACCTTTATATGATTATTCATCGCAAATCGCTCAAATTAATTAATCTCCGGATTTAATCAGATCATGGCTCGATGCCAAGATGTGTCTAAGCTGTCTTGTTCGGTTGGTCTCGCAGCTTTCTGCACCAAAGACAGCTAGAGGATCGTCCGCTAACGCCCTAGGGTTAGATGCCAAATGCTGCCCATGCGGTCTCCATAGAAGCAGTTCACAATGGCGACTGAATACAGTAGCGTGTGCTTGGTTCCTGCATTGTCCAACTCTCAGCAGACTTGGCATTTGCTGTAATCGTCATGGATGAGGATCCGTGGTTGGTTCACATCCAATATCATTCGCGATGCAAGGCTATGTGGCATGATTGACAGCTGTGCTGACGACCATTGTCGACAAATGAGTTTGTTGCAACATTCCCTTTCTGGATGGGATCATGTTAGTTACGCGTGTATTCAAAGTTCTGTGCGGTATATTATGCCGTATTCAGACCGATACGTGAAGAAGATTAGCGTATTACCTGCATTCGAACATGTCCAACGCACTTCAGCATGGGCCATCTTGTGTCCATTAGCAAGGGATCCAGTAGCATTGATTGGCGCGTTAACTCTAGACCAGAGCTTTGGCCTCAATGATGTGCTCGCCATCAACTCTCGCGCAACTGCTTGACCCAACAACCCTGTTCTATCTTGGTCCAAAAGAATAGTCAGATCTGTACCCTGTATGCTATCAACAGAAGTTCTCCATAATATCAGCATCGATTTTACCTGGAGAGTGGGACGAATCGTAGAAAATGTAACCGTTCTTCTGTCCAGGCAGCCTCTTATGGCAATCACGCAATTTGACCGCGGTTGGTGTGCAACCACACCATCTCGGCAGGTCCGTGAGACACTACATGCACGATAATGCAGGGCGTATCTGGTTATCATAAAATGGGCACAGCAACGGTATTTTTTCTCTGATTCGAAATCGCGTTCCTCTCCCTTCCGCTGGCGCATCGAGCACGAGAGAGAGCAAACATGGCTGCCATCGATTCACCAACTCATGCGAAAGGTGAAGCAGTATTCAGCGCCACCGACAATGGAACGCATGTCTCCGAAAATGAATTCAAGGAGGAAGTTGGAGGATTGCAGTTCGACCAGTATCTTACTGGAGGACTAGGGCGCCATCTGGGCATCTTCAGCACAACCTCTCTGATGTGAGAATACTATATAGTTCTAGACGTTGCGCGAAAGCTAATGATATGATGATAGCATCGGACGAATCATCGGTACCGGAATATTCTCTACCCCCTCCTCAATCGTCAATGGCGTCGGATCATTGGGTGCCTCGATGATGTTATGGGTGCTGGGGCTCTTGCTGTCTGTGTCGGGACTCTGCGTCTGGCTCGAGTTTGCATGCATGATTCCTCGAAGCGGCGGCGAGAAAGTATATCTCGAAGCAGCATATCGTCGGCCGAAAATGTTAATCACCACAGTCTTTGCGGTTCAAGCGATTGCACTTGGCTTCACCGGTAAGCCAAGCCTATAAACATACGACAGAGGACGAATGAGGACTAACTAGAGATACAGCTTCTGGTTGCATTGTCTTTGCGTCAAATATTTTGGTGGCAGCCAATACGACAGTTACGGAATGGGCAGAACGAGGCATTGCTATTGGAGTCATCATCTCTGTGACTCTGATCCATACATTCGTTCCAAAGCTTGGAGTTCACGGAATGAACTTTTTTACCATTCTGAAGCTCATCCTTCTCCTATTTATCGTCATTACGGGATGGGTGGTCCTTGGGGGCGGTGTTTCTCGAGTACCTGACCCTCATGCAAGCTTTCACGATGCCTTCGCTGGGTCCGCCAAATCCGGTAACCCATATGCAACAGCGCTGTTCAAGGTGCTGAATTCCTACACAGGCTGGTCAAACGCAATGTACGTGATGAATGAAATAAAGAATCCGGTCCGAACTATCAAGATTGCTGGTCCCCTGGGTCTCTCAACTTGTGGAATCCTGTATATCCTGGCAAACGTGGCGTACTTTTCCGCAGCGACACCCGCAGAAATTGCAGCAAGCGGAACTACTGTCGCCTCGTTCTTTATGAAAAAGGTGTTCGGGCGAGCCGCCCAGAGGGCACTTAGGTCAGTTTCGAATATTTTATCAATGTTCAATCATCTCAGTCTGCTAACTATTCTCTAGTGTTCTCGTGGCTCTTTCGGCATACGGAAATGTAATGACAGTGACCTTTGCGCAATCTCGAGTTAACCAAGAGCTCGCAAAGGAAGGCGTTATCCCCTTTCCTCGATTCTGGGCTTCATCATGGCCATTCGGTTCCCCGTCTGCAGGCTTGATCCTGCATTTCATCCCGTCGTTCATCGTCATTGTTGCTATACCATTCGGAGACGCCTACAACTTCATCCTCGACGTAGAAGGATACCCGAGCGCAGTTATGAACTTTCTTGTGGTCTCAGGACTCTTTTATCTCCGCTGGAAAGAGCCCAAGGCGCCGCGACCATTCAAAGTGTGGTTACCCGTCGCGGCATTCTTCATGCTCGGACAAGCCTTCCAGCTTGTGGCTCCATTTTTGAGGCCTCCGGGAGGAAAGGGTGATACCAGTCTTCCGTATTGGCTTTATGCCGTTGTGGGCATATCGATTTTGGCAGCGTCTGTTGTCTACTGGCTTGTCTGGTGGGTAGCAGCCCCCAAGTTGGGAGGATACAAGTTGGTGCCGCACAACGAGCCTCTTAAGGATGGAACAAACGTGATTGTTTATCACCGCATTTCTAAGAAGTCTCAACAAGCTTGAGAGTTGGTTCGCGTCATTCATCTATTGCAATAAATGATTCCTGATTTAGATATTGGTTTCACTACTTTATGTAAGGCGTTGAAGTATGCATAGCGAACTCGAAACATTAAATGAAACTTTATTAGAATCAGCTATCTATCTATCCTCCTACTTTCTCAGATTAATCGTTTATGCAAGCTTATTGTGTCTATTACTAAATCAACTTTACAGAGTTAACATCAGCGAGTATGCATTGAATACAAAGAGCTCTTTAGCGACGTAGTGATAGAGCCTCCAAACTGGCTTTCAGACAAGCATGCACGATTTTCAACCCCACAAGATAACAGAGCTGACATAGGTAGGTTGTACAACGCGTCGCAGGGCAGAAGTGCTGCAAAACATTAGCGTCATCCAGGTACAGGCCCCAATTGTCCGTACATCTCAGCAGTTCTTATACTGTATAGAGGTAGCTTCATAGCATGAAGTGGCAACTGCTTAATACACGTTACGTACACAGTAAGCTGACCCCGATTCATTCCACTTCACCGCCCCAGCGCGACCCAGCGTGTTGGATAATATGTAACCGGAATTGCTTCATC